AGGGTGAGATCCACTGGCATTTGTTGCAGCATTGCTCGCAGACGCCCGACGCGGTCACATTGAAGAACTGGCTGCTGAGCTTCATGTCAGCGCAGATGAGCTCGGAGGATGTGGCGGCTTTGGCTGCGGAGGTGGTGGCTTCCCATGGTGCCATATGCTGCTTTGACTTTTCGTCCAGCGACGGTGCCCGGACTGTATTTAAGCACCGCACTTTCATGATTTAACTTCGCCCCAGCACATAGGCCGCGTTTTGTTCTTATCCATCCATCACAAGCTTGCGGGAATTACGTGTTCAGGTGGAGAAGTTGCAAAAAGTGTTGAGAGATATGTTGCTTTCACTTTGTTCGTTGCTGATGGGCAGTCTTCAGGCAAGCAGCTTCAGAAGCGGGGCCGCGGCCAGCAGCGGCGTGTTGGGCAGGCCTCTGTTAAGAACCAGCCGCTCAAACCAGTGCGCCGCAAAAGCAAGCTGAGGGCGGTGCGCGCTCAGGCCAGGGCAGCTGTGGTGTCCAAGCAACAAGCCGCACGGAGATGGGGCTGCTGCACAGGGCTGGGCGACATCCCGCTACTCCCCCCATTGTTCACAAATGCTGAAGACACCTACACACGTCTACTGATGTTGCTTGTGGTGTTGAGGTTGGGTCAACGAAGTGGGTCACGTCCTGTGGGAATCATGGTGGATGACTTGGATGCCAGCTTCAACCTTGTTGCTTGTGCCTTGGAACTTGCGCTGCCTGCCAGTGTTCAGAAGACCCACTTGAGTGCTTCAGAAGGGCACACGGAGGAGCAGCAGGAATTCCTCAACAATGGGGGAATTCTGATCGATTCCCGCAGTAAACAAATGGCTGGTTTTCTGCTTGGGCAAGACCCCTTGCATGTCTATTTCCGGCTTGTTGAGGCTGTGGATTTCAGATCTATTGACAGCGCCTTTCTTCTGAGATGCCTGCGGAAGCTCTTGCGGTCTTGGAATTATGAGCTTGAAGTCACCGGTGTGGACCAAGAACTTGAGCATGTTCGGGCAGAGCGCACCCATGACGCACTGCCTTGGCTGGCTGTCTGCAGTAGCAACCACTTGCAAGAGGCCGCGACTCTCCCAGACATTTTGCGTTCATACTTCCACGGCTCCGTCATTCCCAGCAATGCTCACGCCATTCTCCTCCGCAGCGTGGCTTTTGAATGGAACCATCCGGACTCTGGCATCATGTTGCCACAGTGCGCCAAGGCTGTGATCCTGGATGACATTGGACGCAAAACCTCCATGGCAGGCATGTCGCGAGCTGAGGTGGCCAAGGCGGTCCACGCAGCTGTGCACACCGGGCCCTTGACGCCCGAAAATATTTGCAAAGAGTTAGGTCTTCTACACGGCTTTGCTGCGCATCGGCTCTTTGAAGGGATGACCGCTGCAGGTAGCCTCGAGTGGGAAAGAGCGCAGTTTCAGTACCTCAAGCGTGTTCGCAAAAGGCCCGGGGGATTGAAGGGCAGCCAGGTCACGCCCACGCGTGTGTGGGACTCCTCGAAAGTTGCTGGCGGCCACAATTTTGCCAAAGCAGTGCAGCTGCAGCAAAAGCCGCTGATTGTGCGCGGCCTGATGGCTGCCCATGAAGCGAAACGATGGTGCGTCAGCCAAGGCTATAATATCTCCCTTGGGACCGTCGGAGTCGAGCGGTTCTGGCGCAACATGCAAAGGATGTCAAGAAACCTGGCTCGGTCTCAGGGAAGCGAGGAAACAGTGTACTTGGTCAGCGTCGAAAGATGGCTTCGAGAGGTGCAGGCTCGTGCGTGTGCAGGGGCTGGTGCCGACTTCCACGGAGGCGCCGCAGCCTTGGCAGCTTTCCGGAGCGCAGGTGAAAGGCTTGCGAATGCCTTGCTGGCAGGGAATGATGCTGGGACGTGCATGCAGCGCGTTGACGCGACCACTCCGGCAATGAGGAGCATTTATGCCATGTACCTTGAAGGCAGCCTGTGACTCTCAGTGGCAAATACAAACTCCAGAGTATGAAAACAAGGCCCGTGGATTGAGCGTGCGGTTCCAGGGTTTGGACAATGTGCCAGGGATGCGTTGCTGGATGCGTTGCTGCGCATCTTGACATGCAACAACAGCAAGTCATGCATGTGTCTTCCGCAGCCTTTTTGAGATTAGAGGAGCCTGCCAGCCCTGTGCCCGGCAAGCCTTCGTCATGAACTCTCCGCGGCAGGAAGCCACACCTCCCAGGGCCTCCGAACACCTTCCGCCTGATGCAGGGTCGCAACGTGACAGCCCTGTCACCTTGAGCCAGCTGGGCTCAGTCTATGACAGGCTTGAGAAAGAGGGAGAAGCTGAGTGGGCCCGCATGAGGCAGCGTGTGGGGTCTTCAACTGACCCTGCCCTGGGCGCCAAGGATCGCTTGCAAGCACTTGTGCAAAAGCTCTTGCCAGAAGTTACTGGGGGAGTCGAGGCATGCCGGGAGTTTTTGCGCACTTGCTCTGCAGACCGCCGAGAGGCGTTCTTTGCAGCTTGGGCCTGCAAGGTGTACGACCTGCAGATGGTGGAGCAGGAGTGGGACCTTCGTAAGAAGCCCAAGGATCAATCCCTCAAAGAGTTCTTCGAGGGTCACGCCAAGACCTTCTACACCAGCCTGTTGGCTGACAAGTGCATGGACGCCTTGTCTAGCCAACGAGAGACCTCTTTGCGCGCAGTGTCGCCCATTGAGATGGCCTCAGCGTGTGAGCGCCTTGCTGTGGGCTATGGCTTGCCCAAAGATGGTCACTTGGTCCATTCTTGCGTTCAAGGGCAGTGCCTATACCACTTCATGGGGTCCGACGGGAAGCTGAAAGCACGGGCAATGTTGCTTGTCTAGAGCATTGCCTTGTCTCATTGTCTCCTTGCGAGTATAGATTTGCGTCTTTCCTCGAAGCATTAGTTGCGGTCATGGCAGCCAAGGATGGAAAGTGAAAGCAGCTGGAACCAGGCGGGCTCCAAGTTGCCGTTGGTTGCCATCGCTTCTTCGGCAGCCGGGAAGGACAATTTGAAGGCCTTGGTGCAGAGCTGGCTTTCGGAGTTATCGGGTGAATTTCCGCGCGCTGCTGTGGCCTTGTGCCCTGGCTGCCACAGCAGGGGCTACATGCGTGCGTTGAATGTTCACGCGCACGCAGTAAGCAGCACACTCACACACACGCACACCATGAGCAAGCCCGGCCAAGAAGCTGTGGCTGCACGGAGTGCAGCGCCAGTTGTTTTTGCAGCGACAAGTAAGGAGCCAGGGGAATCTCACAGTGTCCGGCATCATGGCAAAACTTCGCAAGACTGGGGGGCAGTTGCAGCTCTTGCAGAGCGAGCTCGAGAAGTTCGTCAATCGCAAGCGCCCGAATTACCTTCAGGAGGGCGACTGCATCGAGCTCCTGGATGGCGACCCCAACTTTGGCAAGGCGACCAAGCAGGACTCTTCCTCCAAGATCCTCCGAGTGTTCTCGTTGGTGCAGTTTAGGCCTGACATCATACACACATCTGTATATATATATATGTGTATATATATATATATATATGCATATGCACATGCGTAACACGCACGGGCACACACACACACACACGCCCACGAGTCGTCGCGGAGTGATCCCAAACACAAGAGAGAGAAACCACACAAAAGGCAGTTGGAGTTTCAAGCTCAGAGCAAATTCACGCGCACGCACACACACACACACACCACACCCACGCACAGGCACGCGCGCACACACACACACACAAAAGGCATTGCGCAAACGCGCTCGTGTGTGCGCATTTCTCTGCGTTGACTCGCCCCTGACTCTGCGCGGCCAGGACGACACATGCCTTGCTCCACATGTTTGGTGCCTTGTCTTTGCCCAGCGCAATGTGTACATGAACGAGCTTGGATCCTCTGATTCCTGCGGACGAGATCAACGAAGTTTGAGGAGAAGATGGTCCCGCGCAAGGCGGCCCAGGAGCTGGTTGTTGGGACGCTCACTTGGATCCTTCGCTTGCAGCAGTCCCCTGCACGCGCCCAGCCAGACCACGAGGCCAGCCAGCAGGAGACTGAGGCAGGGGCAGACGCAGCAGAAGCCAGGGCCACAGCAGCTGCAGCCCCAAAGCGTGCGGCCAGGCTACGCATGCGCAAGCCCAAGCCAGAGGAGGTGACGCCGCAGCGCGGCCTTGACGAGGTCACTTTTTCGGGGGCAGCTGGCTGTGTGCTGGCTGGCGTCCAAGATGGCTCTGCTTCAGCTTGCGCACAGTGCGGGGAGGAGTCGTTGGCAGCTTCAGCAGTCACCAAGCACGCTGGCCGGGTCTTTGGCTCCATGTGTGTGGCCAACTTGGCGTTGCGGACCGGCATGCTCATGTATGCCTTGGTAGCTCGGCGTAAAAAAAACTTCTTGTGTCATGTGCCATATCGCATGAAGGGCTGCCTTATTTCACCCAGGACGGCATTGTCCCGCCGGACCAGCAGGTCAGGTTGAATGACGCGCTGGCCTCCATCCCCATGCTCGAACTCTATTCCATCAACCAGTTGCAGCTTGAGCGTGGCATTGAGGACCAGATGAAGGAGGATGCTAGTCACAAACGCGTTCGCGCTCAGGCGGACAGTTCATTGGAGCCCGTGGACGTTGCCGCCAAGCGCTTCCTGACAGGTCTGCTGAGCTACCGCCCGCCATGTGGCACAGACCCGTGGCAAGCGGCTGTGCGGAAAGGCGTGCCAACCACCCTGCCCCGCAAATCGTTTTGGCTCGCGGTGCGGCAGAGCCTGCTGACCAGGAAGCGCAAGCATGCTGAGGCGAGGCGTGCTAAAACTTGGCCAATGTCAAGGTCGGGTTCCAAGAATTGCTCAGGGGGCAAACCAGAAGAGTTTAAGGCTGCGCGTGCGTTCAAGACTCAATGCAAGTGTGCCGCCGCAGGTGCTGGAGGGCTTCCAGGACACAGCTGGCTGGAAGGCGATTCTTATGCGGATTCAGGAGAAGCGAGCTGGCGAGTGGACTGGCGACGGCAAGAACCTGCTGCTACGATACTCTTTGCCGGGGGACGAGTGGTTGCATTCCTTGGACGTCGGCCCGGAGGCCTTGCAGGCGTATCTTGATGTCCCGCGGGTGGCACCGGCTGAGTTCTTCTGAGGGGCGCTGATGCTAGGTCGGGGAAGCATTCTGCGGAATGTGGCCTGCATCAAGTTTTGACACGCGCCGCGGCTCGAGTTGCAGTAGGGACAGATCTGTGTTGCGGGGTACTGAAGCAAGACATGCAGGCCGTGAGTTATGATTGTCCACCTGGTCCTTTTGGGTTTCTGTCCACCAAAGTTGAATTGCCCCAACATCCGCTTGTTTACAATTAAAATAACACTCACTTCTACTTGCAGAAAGTCGAGGCTGGCTTTAGTGATGCGCTGCCCGAACGCTTGCTACGTCCTCCCAGACAGAAAAGACATGTTGGCCCATTGTTTCCGCCGAGTTTGCAGCATTCGCAGCGGGGGCATGAGTGTAGGCTGTGTGGTCTGCCCCAGGTGTTAGCGAAGCTGAAACTACTGCGCTTGATGCTGTGCCTCATGGTCGCAGTCGGCCAGGTGGGAGATCGGTTGCTGAATTCAAAAAACGTTGTGATTGGTTGTCCGCTTGATTTTGTTTTTGGCGCTGGCTTTAAGTTGAACCATTTATATACAAAAGGAACATGTCTTTAGCTGCACATGAAAATCTAGCCTGCCCCAAAAGCTAAACTTCTTGGCTCGAACGCATTTGTTTGTTTCAGAACACTTGCGGGCTGACACGCAGCGTGTTTTTTTTTTGGACGGGCGATGGGACGGCTTTTGGGCTATGGAAACATGATGCAGATTGCGTTCTGCAGCGCGCGCGTGCCAGCGCCCCTCACCTAATCGGATGTGTCTCCCGACCCTCAACCAAAAATTGCAATTCCGGTCCCGTCACCAGAACAAGCGGGTGTTGGGGCAATTCAAATTTGGTGGACAGAAACCCAAAAGGATAGCGTCAGCGCCCCTCAGAAGAACTCAGCCAGTGCCACCTGCGGGACATCAAGATACGCCTGCAAATCCTCCGGGCCGACGTCCAAGAAACGCAACCACTCGTCCCCCGGCGAAGAGTGTCGTAGCAGCAGGTTCTTGCCGTCGCCAGTCCACTCGCCAGCTCGCTTCTCCTGAGTCCGCATAAGAATCGCCTTCCGCGTTGCGTTCAAGCGCAGCCTGTAACTCTTCTGGGGACCCGACCTTGACATTGGCCAAGTTTTAGCACGCCTCGCCTCAGCGATTTCCGCACAGCCGCAGCAGTCCGGAAGCGCTTGGCGGCAACGTCCACGGGCTCCAACGAACTGTCCACCTGAACGCGACTAGCATCCTCCTTCATCTGGTCCTCAATGCCACGCTCAAGCTGCAACTGACTGATGGAATAGAGTTCGAGCATGGGGATGGACGGCGGGACAACGCTGTCCTGGGTGAAATAAGGCAGCCCTCCATGCGATATGGCGCATGACACAAAAAGTTTTTTGCGCGAGCTACCAAGGCACGCCGGTCCGCAACGCCAAGTTGGCCACGCACATGGAGCCAAAGACCCGGCCAGCGTGCTTGGTGACTGCTGAAGCTGCCAACGACTCCTTCCCGCACTGTGCGCAAGCTGAAGCAGAGCCATCTTGGACGCCAGCCAGCACACAGCCAGCTGCCCCCGAAAAAGCGACCTCGTCAAGGCCGCGCTGCGGCGTCACCTCCTCTGGCTTGGGCTTGCGCATGCGTAGCCTGGCCGCACGCTTTGGGGCTGCAGCTGCTGTGGCCCCGGCTTCTGCTGCGTCTGCCCCTGCCTCAGTCTGCTGCTGGCTGGTGCGCGCAGGGGGCTGCAGTGAGCGTCCCAACAACCAGCTCCTGGGCCGCCTTGCGCGGGACCATCTTCTCCTCAAACTTCGTTGATCTGACCTGAGAGCTGTCCAGTGTGAGCACGACAAAGCGCAGTCGTCCGCAGGAATCAGAGGATCCAAGCTCGTTCATGTACACATTGCGCTGGGCAAAGACAAGGCACCAAACATGTGGAGCAAGGCATGTGTCGTCCTGGCCGCGCACAGTCAGGCGCGAGTCAACGCAGAGAAATGCGCACGCACGAGCGCGTTTGCGCAATGCCTTTTGTGTGTGTGTGTGTGCGCGCGCCTGTGGTGTGTGTGTGTGTGTGTGTGTGTGTGTGTGTGTGTGTGTGTGCGTGCGCGTGTGGATTTGCTCTGAGCTTGAAACTCCAACTGCCTTTTGTGTGGTTTCTCTCTCTTGTGTTTGGGATCACTCCACGCGACGACTCATGCAAGCGCGCACGTGTGTATCGGTTTGTGGGGGTGTGGGCGTAGGCGTGGGCGTGGGCGTGTGTGTGTGTGTGTGCCCGTGCGTGTTACGCATGTGCATATGCATATGTATATATATATATATATATATTTACATACATATATATATACATATACAGATGTGTGTGTGATGTCAGGCCTTAAACTGTCGGAGGATCTTGGAGGAAGAGCCCTGCTTGGTGGCCTTGCCAAAGTTGGGGTCGCCACCCAGGAGCTCGATGCAGTCGCCCTCCTGAAGGTAATTCGGGCGCTTGCGATTGACGAACTTCTTGAGCTCGCTCTGCAAGAGCTGCAACTGCCCCCCAGTCTTGCGATGTTTTGCCATGATGCCGGACACTGTGAGATTCCCCTGGCTCCTTACTTGTCAACTCGGCTACAAAAACAATTGCGCTGCACTCCGTGCAGCCACAGCTTCTTGGCCGGGCTTGCTCATGGTGTGCGTGTGTGTGAGCGTGCTGCTTACTGCGTGCGCGTGAACATTCAACGCACGCATGTAGCCCCTGCTGTGGCAGCCAGGGCACAAGACCACAGCAGCGCGCGGAAATTCACCCGATAACTCCGCAAGCCAGCTCTGCACCAAGGCCTTCAAATTGTCCGTCCCGGCTGCTGAAGAAGCGATGGCAACCAACGGCAACTTGGAGCCCGCCTGGTTCCAGCTGCTTTCACATTCCATTCTTGGCTGCCATGACCGCAACTAATGCTTCGAGGAAAGACGCAAATCTATACTCGCAAGGAGACAATGAGACAAGGCAATGCTCTAGACAAGCAACATTGCCCGTGCTTTCAGCTTCCCGTCGGACCCCATGACGTGGTATAGGCACTGCCCTTGAACGCAAGAATGGACCAAGTGACCATCTTTGGGCAAGCCATGGCCCACAGCAAGGCGCTCGCACGCTGAGGCCATCTTAATGGGCGACACTGCGCGCAAAGAGGTCTCTCGTTGGCTAGACAAGGCTTCCTTGCACTTGTCAACCAACAGGCTGGTGTAGACGGCATCTGCAGGTCGTACACCTTGCAGGCCCAAGCTGCAAAGAACGCCTCTTGGCGGTCTGCAGAGCAAGTGCGCAACTCCCGGCATGCCTCGACTCCCCCAGTAACTTCTGGCAAGAGCTTTTGCGCAAGTGCTTGCAAGCGATCCTTGGCGCCCAGGGCAGGGTCAGTTGAAGACCCCACACGCTGCCTCATGCGGGCCCACTCAGCTTCTCCCTCTTTCTCCAGACTGAGCCCAGCTGGCTTGACCCTTCATCAGGCGGAAGGTGTTCGGAGGCCCTGGGAGGTGTGGCTTCCTGCCGCGGAGAGTTCATGACGGCACAGGGCTGGCAGGCTCCTCTAACAGCAAGAAAAAGGCCGGGCTGCGGAAGACACATGCATGGCTTGCTGTTGTTGCATGTCAAGATGCGCAGCAACGCATCCCTGGCACCATGTCCAAACCCCGGAACCGCACACTCAGTCCAGCAAGGGCCTTGCTTTCATATTCTGGAATTTGTATTTGCCACTGAGAATCACAGGCTGCCTTCAAGGTACATGGCATAAATGCTGCATCATTCCCTGCCGGCAAAGCATTCGCGAGCCTTTCACCTGCGCTCCGGAAAGCCGCCAAGGCTGCGGCGCCTCCGTGGAAGTCGGCGCCAGCCCCTGCACACGCACGAGCCTGCGCCTCTCGAAGCCATCTTTCGACGCTGACCAAGTACACTGTTTCCTCGCTTCCCTGAGGCCAAGCCAGGTGTCTTGACATCCTTTCAACGTGTTGCGCCAGAACCGCTCGACTCCGACGGTCCCAAGGGAGATATTATAGCCTTGGCTGACGCACCATCGTTTCGCCTCATGGGCAGCCATCAGGCCGCGCACAATCAGCGGCTTTTGCTGCAGCTGCACTGCTGGCAAATTTGTGGCCACCAGCAACTTTTGAGGAGTCCCCCACACGAGTGGGCCCCCCGGCCTTTTGCGAACACGCGTGAGGTACTGAAACTGCACCCTTTCAAACTTGAGGCTACCTGCAGCGGTCATCCCTTCAAAGAGCCGATGCGCAGCAAAGCCGTGTAGCAGACCCAACTCTTTGCAAATGGACCGCTTTGGCCGCCTCAGCAAAAATCACAGCCTTGGCGCACTGTGGCAACATGATGCCAGAGTCCGGATGGTTCCATTCAAAAGCCACGCTGCGGAGGAGAATGGCGTGCATTGCTGGGAATGACGGAGCCGTGGAAGTATGAGCGCAAAATGTCTGGGAGATTCGCGGCCTCTTGCAAGTGGTTGCTACTGCAGACAGCCAGCCGAGGCAGTGCGTCATGGGTGCGCTCTGCCCGAACATGCTCAAGCTCTTGCTCCACACCGGTGACTTCCAGCTCGTAATTCCAAGACCGCAAGGGCTTCTGCAGGCATCTCAGAAGAAAGCGCTGCCAATAGATCTGAAATCCGCAGCCTCAACAAGCCGGAAATAGACATACAAGGGGTCTTCCCAACCAGAAACCAGCCATTTAATGTATCAGAATTCCCCCATTGTTGGGGAATTCCTGCTGCTCCTCCGTGTGCCCTTCTGAAGCACTCCAGTGGGTCTTCTGAACTTTGGCAGGCAGCGCAAGTTCCAAGGCACAAGCAACGAGGTTGAAGCGGCATCCAAGTCATCTTCCCACAGGACGTGACCCACTTCGTTGACCCAACCGCAACAGCAGAGACGTGTGTAGGTGTCTTCTGAACAAGGCGGGGCTGTGCAGGAGCCCCATTTTCGTGCGGCTTGTTGCTTGGAAACCACAGCTGCCCTAGCTGTCTGGCCTAAGCGTGCACCGCCCTCAGCTTGCTTTTGCGGCACGCTGGTTTCTTAACAAAAACCTACCCAGCGCGCCGCTGCTGGCCTGGCCGCGGCCCCGCTTCTGAAGCTGCTTGCCTAAGGACTGCCCATCAGCAACGAACAAAGTGAAAGCAACATATCTGTCAACACTTTTTGCAACTTCTCCACCTGAACATGTAATTCCCGCAAGCTTGTGGTGGATGGATAAGAACAAAACGCGGCCTATATGTGCTGGGGCGAAGTTAAATCATGAAAGTGCGGTGCTTAAATACAGTCCGGGCACCGTCGCTGGACGAAAAGTCAAAGCAGCATATGGCACCATGGGAAGCCACCACCTCCGCAGCCAAAGCCGCCGCATCCTCCGAGCTCATCTGCGCTGACATGAAGCTCAGCAGCCAGTTCTTCAATGTGACCGCGTCGGGCGTCTGCGAGCAATGCTGCAACAAATGCCAGTGGATCTCACCCTTGTCGCATTGTGGCAAGCTGCTGGCGCTTGGGTGCTCCGCCAAATGCCAAGAAAACTTGGCGACGTACGTGCCTTTCTCTCGCCACATATGACTCCGTTGCTAGAAACGATTGCCAGATTGGTGGCCAGAATGAGCTGTGCGCAATCCAGTCGCCCATAACGTCTCCGACAAGTGTCGCGCCTGCAGACGATTCGCCGACAGGCAAGTTCCATCTAAAGCCCCCATGTGTCTTGCAGGAGTACGTCGCCGCTTCACACCGCCAGCTGTCAGGAATTTGCAGCCCCGCCGCTTTCCCCGACAAATGATGTGGCACACGCCGCCGTCCGCTTGCGGGCAGCTGGCTGGCATGACACGGTACGCCAAAGGCCGGCTGCACACATCTTGCAGCACTTGAGCAACTTTTTGGGACAGCCGTGCCTCGGGGCGCAAGCTGCGCGCAACAGACGTCTCCACCAAATTGTCCAACTCACCAGCAGCTGGCCGGGCGCGGGGCAGCCCTGGCACGCTTTGCCTAAAGCAGCGTGCTGACAGCGGAGAAGACACTGACCAGCTCGGCTGGGGAGCTAGAATGGGCACGCAAGGCACTTGCATTCTGTCGAGCCGTGCCCGCTCAAGCTTGCCAGAAGGAATGGCTCGCCAGCAGCCGCCTGCTTCGCCACCAGCTGGAGGGTGTATCCGACATTCTCCTGCAAGAGGGAACGGGCGAAAGCGCAAGGCCAAGACCTCGTTGTCCGAGCAACTGCTTTGAATTTGTAAGAAGGACTTCTTCATGGCTGGATGTGGGACAAAGTCGCCCGCCCGCGCTGGACGCTCTGCCATGCAGCATGCCCAGGGCATGGCGCGCGGAGGAGTTGTCGCCTCATCAGCTGCGGCGCCAGCGCCGGTCACTTGACGGGCTGCGGCTGCCAAAGCTGCAGTAGCTCGCCGGCGCCGGACTTAGGCCGGCAAGCGTGGCTCGGCGGCCTTGCTCTTGTGGTTCAACAGCCTGGACAACTTCCCGTGGAAGAAACCGCACTCACAGCTAAAGCCGCCTGCGTCCCGTGTGACCTTGGCAGCCAGGGAGCACAAGGCTTCGCAGTCAGCCTCGTTGCTGGCGTGCTGCTCTTCGTGCCGCCTGAGTGTGCGGGCCGCGTTGGGATCGGAGGGGTCCACTTGGAACTTCCA